CGTAAATCCAAGCACAAGATAGGCTTCATCATATTTTCTTTTCAGCTGGCTTTTTGGTTGATAAGGCTACTGCCTTGTCTGTTTGCGCTGAATTGCCTTTTGTTTTTTTTTTGTTTGTTTTTTGTTTTTTTTGTGGTCCTTATAACAAATTTATCCATTTACGTTATTATGCCCACTATGTACACTACTGGACCTCTGTGTGAATGTTTCCTTATATTGTTGAGCTGCAGTTAACATGCCGATGTTAAACCGTTATTGTTGCACTATGGTTCCACTTTTTTCTCCTGGGCCCCGAACTGATGTTTTAATTTACTTGTCTTAATGACCCATCTCTAATTTTCTCCGTTCATTGCGCCCCACCTGTCATGTCTTTATTCCCCACTAGTGGGGCGCACCCCACACTTTGAGAACCACGGGTCTAGGTTAATCCACAGAGCACACTAACAGCATGTTTGTATAGGAACTGTTTCTTCAGTAGAATGTAGTCTCAATGACAACTGTTGCTTTGTCTTACTGTCTGTGGTATTTGTAATTATGGCAACTTTCAACATGTGTCTGCATGGTAAGACACCATAAATGGAAATGTGAGAAAATGCATTTACCATTTGGGTGAATTGAACCTTTGGGATGCTCTGTTAATGCAACTTTTATTTATTTATTTTTCCTTTTTATATAACAGATCACAGACTGGTATCGAGGCCTTTCACTGGGCAGGTCAGTGGGAGTGTTCAGGGAGAGTTACTCAATTAAGCTGATGACTTGCAACTAGCTCAGCAGTCATTAGCGCAAAGTTCACTGACAGTGGTGCAAGAAACAGCAACAAGAGCAGAGAGCGCATGTTACCACAGAGGTTTAGTAGCCAAACCAGAGTTGGGAGACGCACATTGGTATTAAAACGTATAAAGAATTTAGACACGATCAGGACAACAGCTGGTGAGGTTTTTACCTTCATAATTAAGATTCTGTTGTAGATTTTTCTTTATTAGGATGTTATGGTGTGAAATGTGTGGCTTATTCTACAGAGAAGTTATGATACATGTGGAGGTCTGGACATTTCAGAATTTACTTCAGAAAGTGTAATTTATTGTTGGATTGTAAAATGTATTGACCTTTTGAGATTGTGTTCACTCAAAGCTGCTACTCGTGCCATGTGAGGCCTGTCAGTAATGTTTTTACTAGTGATATTTACCTTGCAGTTAAAATTTAGTTGCTAAGCTGACTTTTTGATTCACAGGCTTAGGTGCTCTTAGATGGATTACGCTATGAAGTCCTTCAGCCTTCTGACTCCATCTTCCCTGTCCAAGTAAGAGCACAGTTTCATGGGATAGTGAGCACTATCATCAGTTCATAGACGGGTCTGACATGGGAAGTTCACCTACCCTGTGGCTTGTATCCTCCCTCCCCCCCAGGTGTGTGACAGCCAGCGCTTCCATGACCCAGCAGCTCCTGTCGGGTCGAGCGCCTCAGTCAAAACCCTTTAGAATTACAAATGCTGACCGCAGTGTGAAGAAGGGCATCATGGCTGAGGCGCTGGAAGACCTGATGAACAAGGTGAGGAGAGGGATGGGGATGTGAGGAGGAATTGTGACATAGTCAAGGGTGAAGATGAACAGCTGAAGAAATGGTAGTGATGGAGGGAGACAGCCTGCAAAGTATGCACAATTTAAAAATGGCACAGACAACTGACCTGTGCTCACTACTGCTGCATGTCTGAAACTTGTGCATGATTTTAAGATCATGCTGGTAAAAGTTCGCAGGACTGAGGAGTCTGTCATACTGCTATAAACACTGACCTGTCACATTTACTTCCCAGGTGATGCAGGTTCTCTTTGCTCTCTCAGGTCAGTGACTCATTGAACGTATCGTGTGTCAGCGCCCTGGTGCTGGATGAAGATGGCACAGGTGTGGAGACAGAAGACTTCTTCCAGACTTTGCCTGAAAACACTGTCCTCATGGTCCTGGACAAGGCACAGAAGTGGACTCCACATCCAGTATGTTTTTGGCCCTCTTCAGATTAACCACTAGGTGACACTATTGCTCAGCTGCCTCACTGAACGGCACAGAAGCTTAACATGCTGATCTCCTGTTCAGCATAAAATGCCAGTTACTCTTGGATGTAGAGACATGGACAGACAGGAAAATGTCTTAGTTTAATGCAGCAGTCATAAATGTAGATGGTAAATCTGTGGTCTGAATAATCAAACAAGCTATTTAATGAAGTTTAAGAGCAGTAAATATTTTATCCTTCAAACTGAATAATTATTGTGCAAAGGCAGAATATGGGGTGAATACCAGAGATTTTCTTCCTTCATGAATTTTGTGGGACAAATGAAATACTCAGCCTGTTTAATAACCAGACCCAGAGGAATCATATTAGAATGATTTTCCTAAAACCAATTATTTTCAGAGAAACTGATGCGTGTAGTGATTTCCATCCCCTTTCCCACACCCCCAATTATTTACCAAGGTGCTCTCATACTGACCTTGCCTCATTGCCAGGTATGGCTTCAAACTTTAATCCAAATGTATGTTATTGCTGGGTGTTGTCTCCGACCCCACTAGCCAAATGTGTCTGAACCATTTTGACCTGTTTCTCTTCTGTCCAATCACAGTACAGCATCCCATACAGAAATCAGCTCAGCGAATGCAGGAAGCAGCACCGGATGAATTTGGCCAAAGTGACCTTTGACCTCTACAAGAACAACCCCAAGGATTTTATTGGCTGCCTGAATGTGAAAGCAACGCTGTATGGTGTTTATTCTGTGTCCTACGATCTGCGCTGTTACGCTGCCAAAAGGATGCTGAAGTGAGTGAGGAAGCTGGCCACATATCTGAAACCTGCAGATAGTTTTGTTTTGTGTTATTTAAGTTGGCTTGTCTTTCATCATGTCAAAACATCTGAGACTTTACCGAGGCACCATTTGGATCCCTAAAATTGATCAATTTTAATGAGTTTCTAATCCAGATTACCAAGCAGGTCCTCAGTTTAATGCATCCAGTATATAACAAATTAGTTATTTTCTGGCTCACTTTCTACTTTGTGCCAACTGCTTTTATCCAATTAACACCATTTACAGTATTATGCACGGCCTCTAACATGAAGTATAAGGTCATATTTTATCGTGTACACCTGCAGGTGGCAGAGTTAAAAAGATCCGATAGCAGGAGAACAAAGGCTAGGTTTTACCGAGATTAGTTTCGGGAGGAGTTGTCATTGCTGCTGAGATCTGCCGGTTTTCAGCTTTTGTGTGAAACTTCACTCAGAGGATTACAGTGCTTTTGTGCAGTGAAAGAGGTTTGTTTTCTGGGATACCAGTTTTGTGAGATGCAGCAGATGTGGAAAGTGAAATGCTGGGTGTGTTTAATTGTTTCCACAGATGGAAATTAGATGTTTATGACCAGTTTTCTCTCTGTGCTATGCTTCAAGGGAGGCTCTCCGATGGACCATCTTCTCCATGCAGGCCACGGGCCACATCCTGCTGGGCTCCTCCTGCTACATTGAGCAGCTGCTGGAGAATGAGGAGCAAGTGGAGAAGAGCCTGGCGCTGCCACAGGAAGGCAGGATCAGGCAGCTGCAGAGCTTGCTGCTAGGAAAGAGCTCCCACCGATGATGAACTGGAGGTGACGGTGGTAGAGCTGATGTTGACTATCATTTGTTCTTGGATTTCAAACACGGTGTAGTTGTCACAAATGAACCGTGTGAACTCTGTGTGGTCATGTCAGTTTCTTGTTTGGGAACATGACAGATATTTCAACCATCTCTTCTCACAGTCACTTTCTTGCTCTGTTACTTTGTTTCGTATTTATGTAGAAGTCAACACAATTTCCCCAGAAAGCACTTTGACTCACTACTGTGTAACTTGTCTTGTGTAGATGAATAAATAAAAACTAACACTTTTATTTTCCTGTTCCTGAAAGTTGGTCTTCATCCAGTGGAGTTTAGATGCACGGTGCAAACCCATGAAACTGGTTATGTGCATGGCTCCTGGTTACATTCAGAGTAAATAGCACCAGGACTGGCTGTCTCTTCCATGCTTTGTGAATTGTTCCTTGGCCTGCACTGTCCTGTTGCTGTAGCTTGCATCAGGAAAAACTAAGAAACCAAGTAGAGCTAGCAATTGTAGGAGACTGAGGTACGGACACAAACAGTTCCACTGAGTGAGAGGATGGCGTTGGCTGCCAGCAGCAATGTCACTTACCATTGTCTTGGAAGGTGGCAGCTGAAAGCTGATGATGATTTTAATCAAACTGGCTGTCTAAGTCCTGAGTCAGTATGAATGTGGTTTTGTTTATCTTGTCATCCACTGGTTTTATTTTTTTGGTTTTCTGTCTATAGAAAAATTGAAACATGGCTACAGGTGATTTCTGCGTTCATGTTTACTTACGTTCACTACATTGTTTGCTAATGAGGGGTACAGATGTAAAAATGAATGACAACACATTTTCTGTTTTGTATGTATGTATGAATGAACTGGAGTTGCACCTGCATCCATACAGACCAAAGTGAACGCTGCCCATGTCCCGTTTGTACTGAAATGGGTCATAATTACTTGCTGTCCATCTTTTATGCTTTAATGTGAATATTGGGTTAGGGTTAGACACTGACAGTTGTGACAGGGTGAGAGAATGCATTGTCAGTGAGTGCTCTCATAACTAGAGGAGGACTAATGTAGGTGTTTGCATTTCTTTAATTAGAGCTTCTAAAAGCAGCAGGAAGTCTGGCTTTTTCTACTGTCTGAGAGGCAGACATGCATCTGCACCTGTACTGGATAGTCAACATGTAGACTCCAGTAAATCAGACCTAACCTGTTCTAGTGACATCTCTTAAGGCTGGTTATCAGAGTTCTGCTGCTCTGATACACAGACCCCCAACATGGGCATTCTGAAGCTGACTCTTCACTCCAGTGACTTTGAAAGGATAACGTGGTACCTCCCTCCTCCAGTCAGGCAGCTGAAGTCATCCTGACAGCAGGTTCCTCTGTGCATCTCTCCCTGCAGACAGTACAGCCGTCCATCAGTCCCGTTAAGCTGTGTTATTGCTCGTGGTCCCCGGTGGAGCTGAGCATGTGCTGGCTGCTCCACAGGACAGAGGGGGCGCTTCTCACATCCACTGGCTGCGGACATGAATGGCTGAGTTCCGACACAACAGGTAAGAGTGCAGCTTTTGCAACAGAATCCGTGTGTCTTTTTAGACAACTGTTATTTGTGCTATCGTTTTTCTGCAACGTAAAATACGCAGCGCTGTGCAAACATCTGGCGCTCAGTGACCAATCAGACGACAACTTCGGTCATCAATTAAGCACAGGTCGTTCATTTTGGCATGATAGGAAGGTGCATCATTGTTTTATTACATTAAAATCTGTTCAACTTTGGAAAAAAAAATGCGCTGAAGTTTTACGCGGCACGTAATAAGTTCAAATTTATGATTTGTATGTAGATTTTGTTCAGAATATTTATCGACTTGAAACACTGTCGATACTGGTTGGATCCAACTTTATATATTTGATCCGAGCACAGGTCTGCACTCCCTCCATGCTGTTCGGTACCATGAGCTCAGTCGATTTTTAGCAGAGAAATCGTTTCAACAGAAACCTGCGTGTGGGCGTAGGTGTTTGGCGGGTTCGGAGGTTGTGTATCTCTCTCCCCCACTCCCAAGGGACTCCTCCAGCCAGCAGTCTATAAATATGTCTTACATATGTCTTTACGGTGCTGAATTGCTCCATCTCCTCTCCCTTGGCAGTTTTAGGCAGAGTGTGAATACAGCTCAAGTTAGAGTTCAATTCTATTATTCATTTAAGGGCATTATGAATAACAACTAACATTTAGGACTTGCTCTGCACATGTTCTCAATTATTTGATCATTTTGTTTTATTTTATTCCAACATCTTATTCAGTTTAATCAGCCAGTTTGTCAGTAGTTCATCTGCAGCAATTCTGATAATGGACTGTCATTTTTAAACTAGTTATAGCTAGAATTGTCAATATTTGCTGGTATTGTGTGACTGGAGGTTGCAGATTTTAAATGTGTGCTGTGTTTCTGTGAAATTGTGATGGATTTTTAGACCAATGATAAATTAGCTGTATATGTGTTTCGTAAGATAGACCAGTAAGACTAACACTATCAATACCCTGCTCAGCATAGCTGCAATCTGTCCTGACAGAAGTGAATAGCTCAGGTTTATCATTTCAATCCAAATGCTTGATCATGCAATTTCTCTTTCAGATGTTTGTCATAAGCAACAGTTTATTGCAGAACAAATGACTAGAAAAGATCGATGTACAGAGAGACTATAAATGTGAAGGTAAATACAGTAGACAGCCATGAGATGAGGAGTAATGCAGAATGGAGGGGTTGGTTGCAACGGTGTCAAGGTGAAGAAAAGCCAAAAAAAAAAAAAACCCCAGAGTAGTCTTGATGAAAGTGTTTGGGTCTGAGCTGACTCCACGCTAGGCTCTGCTGTGGATGGCTTTGATTGTAAACATGAAGGAGGGAAACCAAATCCCTCTGGACACCTCTATATATTACATCATCACCCTCTGTCTTGCAGCAGCCAGCTCTCACACATAGATTCTTTGTCTTATTCCTCCTCAAGTAACCTCCTAATGTTCCTGACATTTTTCACCAAGTGACTTCCAGTTCAGTTGATCATGCACCTTTCTCTTCCTTTTCTTTTCTCTGCTTCTTCCCAGAACTTGAATTTTCAATGGTTTATTTCAGGTCATATTTAGTCTCTGTGATAAATAACTCGGGCTACAGGATAACCCAGAGGCCCTCAGTGAGAGCCTGGATGCTTTGCTCAAACCGGAATTGCCCATGTGCCATTTGGAAAGTCTGCCTGCATAATGGATTTGTTTTTCAATGTGGTCAACGACTGAAACAGCAATAGCTGCCCTTATTTACTACAAGTTATTACTCAGATTTCTCTTCTGCTGTCATTTAAAGACAAACAGTACATACATTAAAGACGAGTCTCCAAAGAATAAAAAAAAAAAAAGAGCTTTTGCTTGATCTCATTCTCTCCCAGAGCACTCTCTGTATCTGTACATATTTCATGCCACCCTGCTCACCCACTTCCAGCTGATCCTCAACTCCATTATAAAATGAGCCAAACATAGTTATGACTTGGACAGAAATGAACATTAGATTTCTGCATAGAAAGAACTGATGCAACTTTCACAACAAACACAATGGGGGTGGTTCTAAAAACTGTGGACAGAGTCAGTAAAGTGAATGAAAGCAATCCTGTGACATTGTTTTTGCCCTTACAGCAGTGAGGGTTGCGTGTCTGGAGGACAGTGGTGGAAGTACTCCTCGGGTTTAAGTGGCAGTAACACTAAAAATACAATGCAGAATGGCACGTTTCACACCATCATATTGTTGAATTATAATTATGGATGCATCATTGTGTAAATCACATTATAGGTTGAGCCAATTATGACCTTGTATGCTTACAGTTTGCTGGCTAGCTTGTGAATTTCCCCCTGAGGATCAATAAGGTCTTGTGTTCATCTGATTTCTGAAAAGTAATTGGTAACTTAAGTTTTAAAATAAATAGTGGGGTAAAAGTACAATATATAAAATGTAATGTAGCATGTGTGAGCTGTGATTAAGGTTAGGGAAGTAGGGGTTCTGCTTAGGGTAAGTCTCCTGGAAATGAGTACGTGTGTATGTATACACATGACGTACTATGCTTTATATTTGAACTTGTTTTTGAAATGAACACTGTATTTTAGCCATTAAGGTGCAAGCTAGTGGCAGTTGGCTGTGGCTTCATATTTGCAGTAGGGATACGAGTGGTATTATTATTATTATTATTTGATTTTTCGTCAGCAACAAATTAAATTATCATTTCAAAAATGTCAAACTATTCCTTGAACATTTGAAGAAACGGTACCACTATGGCTGCATATGTAGTCATATGCAATCATCTTTTCAAGGTTTGTTTCCATAACAGTAAATAATTATATTGGTAGTATAGACCCATTTATTTTATATACCCAATGTGAAAACACTTCACATGATGATACTAATCTTATTTAGTTCAATTATACATGCTATACAGTGTCTTGTCACAGTTTCTGGCTTCCAACACTGGAGGGAAAAAGGCTTTATACCTCTATGTGGAGAACTGGCTCTGGATGTGATGTGCTACTTTGTGAATTCACCTCCATGTCTGAGATGTTGCTGCACTGAAATAATATCTGTAATGTAGTCAGATCAGCCCATTCTTCGATGATGCAGAAATTTAAAATGTCATTGCATTTTTCCTAAACCTATGATAACGCCAGCATTTTCTACAGCTCCCAGGGAACAGGCTTAAATTGTTGCATTCAACCTGGCTGATTAGATGGAGACCCCAGTAGGGATCAGCAATATCGGAGCAAAATGAAACGAGACTGCGCAGTCACATTCTCCATTTTGTAAAATGACAACAGGACTGCAATCTGGCTCCTGTTAGTGGAGAAGTTCATGCCTGGTGGATGTTGGTTTAAAATTTATAGAAGGAGGCATCACAGAACAAGCATTCCCAAACAGGTTGCATTAAAAAAAAAAAAAAAATCTATTATACATTGAGTATTTGCATATAAATAAAGCTAAAATGAGATCAAGCAAAGCACAAACACTTCTCTTGATTGAATCAAAAGCAAAGGATTAGGGATAAAGACCCAGATGTGATGTCAAGTGCTGTGCTGAATAAAATGAATGTTTACATTTTGCATGTAATGTGGACATGCTTGTATCTTGCATTACAAATCAGGCATCGGTTATAGATGGAATAAGATCAATCTATCAGACAAAATGTGCTCAAAAACAAAAGGTTTATCCCACATGCTGTAGTTTTTTTTTTTTTAATTGCAGGGCATTTTTGACCAAATGTTTGGTATCCATCTTTGTTAAAGGAATAGTTTTAGAAATATGCTTATTTGTTTTCTTGGAAGAGTTAAATGGAAACACCGACAATGAACTGATATGATGCTACACAAAGCAGCTGGTTATCTTAGCTTAGCATAACAAATGGAAACAGGAGGAAACTGCTAATCTGGAACTGTCCAAAATGGCAAACTATTCCTCATGTGCTCAGAAAGTTCAGAATGAAGGATCCAGCTAACGTTTTTGGAAACCTACTGCACACAACTTTTTGGTTATTAATATTATCACTATGACTTTAGTGTGTGTTTTTTTTTTTTTTTAAACAAATTTATTAACACTCACATTTGACCTCACTGTGTATTGTTATAAAGGGAGAAGTTGTTACTGAAATTGTCATTTATTAAATTTTAGTCTTCAGTAGGTCAAGGTTAGTAGGAATATTGTTCTCTCTAAAGCTAAAAAGCTCACTGAGCGCTGCCCGGTGAGCAGCTTCCACTCACAGGTGTTTTAATTAGGATGCTGTATTAAGAAGCGTGCTCGGTTTCAGGATTTGGAAATGAACATTGCTCTGCAAGACCTAACCTCAACCAACCTGAGCTCACTCAGATTCTGTTTTCAAAGAGGGAGAAAAATCTTAACCAGTTTGTGGCTGAAGAGCCATGTGAAACCATTCAGTGCTTTGCAGGGTCAGACATGAGGCACTTTGGGTCAGAGTGAGGTCATATTGATTGATTTTTAACACTTCTGCTTCAGATGAATGCCCTTTGCACCTCAAGCTTTTAATTTATAGTGATTAAATGGTGCTGCATGCATTGTATCAATTGTTTTAAGTAGAAAACCTTTTCTTAAAAATCTTATACTTATAAAAAAGGCACTGTATAAAAATCACACCCAAACCCTCTGAAAACGGAGCATATGAACTCCACACAGTTAAACCACTAAAGGTTTAGCTGGGGGGAGTGGGTTTTTTTTTTTTGTTGTTTTTTTTTTTTTAAACAAATTTATTAACACTCACATTTGACCTCACTGTCATTGCATTTTTCCTAAACCTATGATAACGCCAACATTTTCTACAGCTCCCAGCAAAACAAAAGTGATGATTATCTATCCAGCAGAAATACAGCCACCATGGTGTCACTTTTCAGCTCCTTTTGTTCTCAGTTGTCACCATCATTCAAAAGCTAAACTGATGTTAATTCTGGTTTTATTTCTTGCAGCATTCAACTTCTTTTTAGTTGTAGTTTTCTCAAATACAGTGCTACCTGCCCAGATCTGCAACCCCGAACCACAGTTGGGGACCTCTGGCTAAACTCCTTTAGCCCTGGCTTGTAGCCAGTATCTAGCCTTAGAAGTCCAGGCTTTTCCACCAGGGAGAAGTGATGATGGAGGCCAGCTAACTCCATCAAAATCACAGGCTTTATTCCATCTTGGTAACATGAACACTGCATGCGACTTTTGATGCCCAGTTAACTGCATTATAATCCTATCTACACACTTAGAGCTGACTACTCTTTGTATCTTCTCCACCTGTGGCTGCATGTAAAATGAGTCTGTTCCATGTGGCAGCCTTCTTGCTCTCATACTGTGCACACTGCATGCAGGTAGCAATTTATGGCAACAACAACAACATTACCTATAAGGGGAAGGGCTGGCCTGTAACAACGGTCTCTGTTTGCGAATAAAAGCTGCTGCGGGTAGCTCTTCTGTCATAGCTTGCTAGCTTTAGCTGTAAAACAGAGCAGTAACACATCTGCCTGCTTGGCCTTGTGGGAGACCCTTCGTTTGTGCAAGGGCAGGGTGCGCGCAAGTAGGAAGTTATGTTGACAGGCAGGTACGACATCCAATGGTGTTGCTTGGGACGAGTAAAATTATTGGTCAGGCTTTTAAATTTTGGGGAAGCTTTTTTTTTTTTTTTTTTTGTCAATGCATTTAATGTATTCATTGCCATTGGGATGAAAAGAGACATTCAAGATATGGAACGAAAAATGCTTCTTAAAAAAATCGCCAACCCTACCTTAATCAATGTATCACTGTATCCTATTGAGCTTCAGTCTCCACCATTCCACTCTCCATCAGCTGCTGTGCCTTTCTGTGACCTTTTTTTTAGAATTGGCAATATCTATCCACCATTCCTTCTTATGCTAAGCATCTAGTCATCATGCAGCTTTTCACTCAGGCAATCATGAGTGGAGTCTCTGGGGACTGCAGCGGCCTGTTGGGGACTGGAGGCAACAGGAAACCAGCAGCAGTTAGGAGAGGGCTGATGTAAGTCTTTAGAGGGGAACAATCACTGCCACCTCGGCTCCCTGGGACATCTTGTTTACCAGTGCTGCTGCCTCACTCTTCTTTTCTACTTCCTTCTCTCACTTAGGCATTTTTAGTCTGGCTCAGCTCTCCAAGTGTTCAGGTGTTTCAGATGCCTTACTTCCATGCATGTGATGCATCCCTGCTTTTAAACACAAATCCACCACTTTTCCAAAAAAAAAGGATTCATTTCCATTTCTCTCCAGCATCCAAACCCCTTTAGCCCTCTTACCTTCACTCTCCTTTTTCCAGAATCTGGTAGAAATCAGCCAGTCTGCTCACAACCGGACCAGCTGGAAGCCTCCAACCTGAAAGCAAAGTGGCTGCAGGCCCGGGCTCATGCACACCATCGATTCTTCACTCATTTTTTTTTTTTTGCACTTTACTTTCCCCAGCATCCCTTCTTTCATTTCTCCATTTCTCCAAACACCCCCAAGAGACATTCTACTCTTCGTTTTTAAACCAGTCCCCGATCTATATCTGACAACTGGTTCCTCACTAGCTTAAGCAGTGCTGTAGAAACTTTCCTCTTCTTTCCATGAAGTCTACAGTTTGCTCACATTACTGAAAATAGTTTTAAAAGGAGGACTGTTCACCTTAGGGGACTTCTCTTTCCTTGCAAATTCTGCTGTTTGCAATGTCCAGGGAGAACAGGAACACATGAAAATCATTTGGAGGAAATATTTAATTAATCAGTATCAGAAGGATATCATCATACTTTCCTGTGGACTCGCAGCTCAGCAGGCCAATGAGCGTGTACCACTGTGTATTTTTTTGTCTCTGCAATGGGAACATTATTTAAGCTCTTGAGAGAGCTTTTAACTCTAAAACACTACTCTACTGTCTTACTGTCACTAGCATGGTGTTGCCAATCAGCTCGCCATAACACAATTCAGTATGCCACCTGTGCCCTCATTAATCTAAACTCTTGTGGAAAGGTTGCTGCGGCAACAGAAACGGGAAGAAAATGAGTCTATCGCTCTGACAACTAATTGTCTTGTTGCCCACGTGGAGTTGTGCTGGGATTGATAGTTGAATTGGCTTGTTGTGTCATTTGTTTCGTACACTCTTGATTTATCATAACATGATTTAAATGCTGAAACTTATTTGTGCTCCATATAATTCAAAAGTTTCAAAATATGTCTGCCAACATACCTTTTCCAAAGAGCACGAGAAATGCTGTACGAGCTGGACAGAAAGATGAGCAGTTGTTGGCCAAGAACTAGCTACATCATATACAGTAAGTCTCCCTACTGCCACAAGATTGCAACCACAAGATTTGCATTTTTGTTTGTGTTTATATACATGTTAAAGATTAGTGAGCTTTGGAAGTGCTGGTAGACCTTTCCTTTAAACGTCCACCAGAGCCTCTTCCCTTCTGCTTTATGTCCATGCCCTAGGCTTGGTTAAATACCTCCTGACTTCAGCATACTGTAAAATACAGACCAGTTAAAGAGGAGCTGCTCTGACAGGCTGAAAAATCAGTGTCTGGCTAAGGACCTGTCCCAAGTCAAGTCAAATCAAATCAAATTTTGTCTAGTGCCGAATCACAACAAAAGTCATCTCAGGACACTTTACAAAGTAAGGTCTAGACCTTACTATTATCACTATTATAGAGGAAAACCCAACAAATCCCCCTTGAGCAAGCAGTTGGTGACAGCAAGGAGGAAAAACTCCCTTTAATGGAAGAAACCGCCGACAGACCCCGGCTCCTGGTGGGCAGCCTTCTGTCTTGACCATTTGGGGTGAGTGAATAGAGAAGAGAGAAAAGAAGTGTGGGGAAGCCTACGGAACCACCCTGAAGATCTGTGAAAAGGATTGACATGACCTTTTTTAAAAAGAAAAGATCAAAAAGGCACCAGGCCCAGACGGCATGACCACCTTCTGCCTGAAAACCTGTGATGATCAGCTGGCCCGCATCTTAACACTTATCTCCAACAGATCACTGGAGTTGTGTGAAGTCCCCTCCTGCTTTAAAGGCTCCACCATCAACCCGGTCCCCAAGAAACCCTCCATCAGTGGACTGAATGACTACAGACCTGTTGCCCTGACGTCTATAGTTATGAAGTACTTTGAGAGATTGGTGTTAGCCCAATGGGCAAACAGCTCACTGTACCCACCTGTCAGTGGATCACCAGCTCTCTGACAGATAGGAAGCAGCAGATGAGGCTGGCAAAAATCACATCCAGCACCCAGACCTCAGCACAAGTGCCCCATAGGGATGTGTGCTCTCCCTGCTGCTCTTCTCCCTTTACACAAATGACTGCACCTCAGGGATCCTCTCTGTAAAGTTCTCAGATGAACCTAAAGTTTGCAGATGACACAAGGGTCATTGGTTTCACCCAAGATGGTCACAGATGGGAGGTTGAACAGCAGGCCCTGTGGTATAATCACAACAACCTGGAGCTGAACACACTCAAAACAGCAAAGATGACAGTGGACTTGAGGAGAAGCCTCCCCTATCCTCACCATTCTCAGCAGCACTGTATCAGCAGTAGTCCTTCAGGTTCCTGGGCTTCACAATGTCCCAGGACCTTAAGTGGACATCCAACATCAGCTCAATCATCAAGAAGGCACAGCAGAGGATGTACTTCCTGGACTAGCTCAGGAAGTTACATCTGCCCCAAGAGCTGCTGATTCAGTTCTACAGAGGAATTATTAAGTCTGTTCCCTGCTCATCCATCACTGTCTGGTTTGGCTCAGCAATCAAACAGGACAGGAACAGACTCCAGCCAACAGTCAGGACTGCAGAAAGAAATCATTGGTGCCAGCCTGCCCTCCATGGAGGATCTGTATTTCTCACTCATCAAAAGGAGGGTAGAGAAGATGTTTGCAGATCCCTCAACATCCTGGACACAACCGGTTTGAACTCGCCCTCTCTGGACGGCGCTACAGGTCACAATATGATTCTAAAGTGAATTAACTTAAGTGATCTTCAGTTTAGATGAGATCTTGCAGTGCTTAATAAATATGTTCCTTTGGCAGTAAATCTATTTTAAATAAATCATGTAGTCTGCTTCAGCTGGCAGAGCAGAGATCATAAGACGTTTTGTGTAAGTTGCTGAATGTGTTTTGCTTTTTTTGACCCACTGAGAGGGCAGTTTATTGCCTGTGGGTCTGATTACTGAGCTTCATTCAATTTGTCCTCTCCCCTGGGCACCAGTACACATTAGTGATGCCTTTATTGAGGAAGGCTGTAGTTATGACAGCTTGTGTGAAGGTCTCAAGCTGTGGCTGAGTCAAAATGGTAATAGGAGATGATGGTAGGAGACAGACTGACAGACTGAAGGTAGGAATGATCCATAATCCAGCACCTGTTCAATCTGCTCACGTTAAGAGTGATTATGTGAAATGTTATAGATAGATGGAAAATATTGGTTGTGATCCCTGTGTTATGACTTTTCTACACAAGTTCTGTTGTGATGTGTGACATGCTATAAGAGAATGATGTTTTGATTTTTCCTACACAGTTCATTTCTCATCTCTCTGTATTGTGTCCCCATCTCTCTAGTGCTGTCACCAAGCTGGTATTAATCTCTGCATCATGGAGACTTGGCCTGGTGCACCATGGGAGCTCATTAACAGCATGACAGATACAGCATATGAGTACTGAGCGGTCATCATGGAGACTGACAGCTACACCCCAGGCCCGGCCACCATTGACTGGGTTGGGATGGTGGCCAGCCTGGAGGGAATGGGAGTCCTAGAGGAGGAGAGAGGAGGGGGCTCGTCCAGCAGCCCCGTGTCCTCGTACACACCATACTCACTGGGCTTCCAGGTGTCGCTCATCACCTTCCTCATGCTGGAGCTGGTGCTGGGTTTCAGCAGCAATCTGATGGTGCTGGTGCTTTACTGCTCTCAATCCAATTTAGTGGACTCTGTGAGCAATATGGTGACTGTCAATCTGCATGTGCTGGATGTGGCAGTGTGCGTGTTGTGTCTGCCCCTCACTGTTGTGGTTGTGCTTCTGCCTCCTGGGCCAAACCTGGCTTTGTTCTGCTGCTTCCATGAAGCCTGTGTTACTTTTGCTAGTGTTGCTACAGCCATCAACATCCTGGTTATCAGCATGGACCGATATGACATTTCAGTACGGCCGGCCAACAGGCTTCTGACCACCCGCAGAGCGACACTGCTCCTGGCTGCTGTTTGGGTCACCTCAATAGTTGTGTTTTTTATACCATTCTTGGAGGTGCAGTGGTCTAGTGAAGATGGATCAGAGGAGAGAGCGCAGGTGGCACCTATGTCTTTGTCCTCACAGGGCATCAGTACCACCATGGCGCCAGTGTGGCGTAACCAGACACTGTTGTGCATTGGTGGGCAGGGCTATCACACAGGTATGGGTATGTATTACCATCTTATCCTTCAAGTACCCATGTTCTTCACTACTGTGGCAGTCATGCTGTTCACCTACTCCAGAATACTGAGGGCTTTAAACATCCGCATTGGTTCCCACATGAAGAAGAACCAGCAGTTCAGGGATCACTCTTGCAGGGGGCACCACAGGAGACAGAAAAAAAAGAAAGCAGGAAAGAGGATGATTGATGGAACAGAAGTGGGAGGGGAACAGTGCACCTCAGATGGTAGCAAACAGCTCAACCACCCTCCCCTCATTCCATCCCCCTCTCTCACCCCGACAGCTACCTCCCCCCCTGCCCTTTCTTCATCCGCCCCACTTGTTACCTCTCACATGGATGCAGCCACCCCCATAACAGCCAATATGGGCGTCCAGGCCTCTGTGTCAGCCATCATTGCCTTGCGGCGAGCAGTACGGCGGCATCGGGATCGGCGAGAGCGACAGAAGCGAGTGTTCAGGATGTCCCTCATCATCATCACCACCTTCCTGGGTTGTTGGGCTCCTCTTTCTGTGGCCAACTTGTTAATCCTTGGCATTGGCCCCACGGATGCCCTGATCAGCCTGCGCCTCTGCTTCCTAGCCCTGGCTTACAGCACCACTGTCTCCCACCCTCTGCTCTATGCATTCACACGACAGAAGCTGCGGCATGCCCTCCGTGCAAAGGTAAAGAAGAGGGTGGTGTCCTTGCTCCAAGTAGACCCTTCCCCAGCAGGCACTGTCATACACAACTCCTGGGTGGAAAACAAAAAAGCCAGCCGGCAGGTGCGGCTAGAAGCAAGTGAAGGTACTGACCGCTGCCTGGCAGAGGCCCTGTGAGACTGACACACATGCACTCGGTTAATACAATTAAAAACCTGCATAAAGCCACAGGTGTGTTCAATTATGAGATTCACTGTTGCATGAAGTTGGGTTAAGAAATTTCCACATTTCCTCCTCTGGGAGAGCTTTTAATGTAACCGCCAGAAGCAAGCCTGCAGTAAACACAGTTAACTTCCCCTCAGCAGTGGAGGCAGGATGTTGTCTCTGCAGCTCAAGAAACTCATTCAGTACATAAGTGTATATACAGTAACTTAAACTCTGTCAAATACTGAAGCCTGTTTACATACGGAGTTGTATGATGGAGCGTTCTCACAGTGGTGCTTACATAACTGCTCCAAAGAATGTGTTTAGCTAGATGGTCTGATCTGCCTCCCACTCATATGCTCCAAGGCAGCTTTAAAACAAAGATGTCGATACACTTTGAACACAAACGCTCAAAAAAACCATTTGAATGTATTTATTTATTATCCCTGGTTCATTTCTACTGTGAAAACTAGGCTAGATGGCAAGTTCATATTCACAGTCAAAACACAGTGACTATTAGATGTAATATGAACATTATAGGTAAATGCGTCGGAGTTTGAGAGTCATCAGTCAGAGGACAGTTAAAATGTGAAATAGAAAAATGAGTTTTGCTGTAGCTTATAGTATTGTGTTCAAACGTTAGTGTTTATATCAGAAATTAATATATTGCCTATAGTGCGGGGAGAAGGTATAGATATTTCTTTTAAAGGAATAGTGTCACATTTTGGACAATATGCTCATTTGCTTTCTTTGAGAGAATTTGATGTTTAGAGTGCTATATGTCATTCATATGGTAAACATGAAGCTGCAGCAGCAGCTGATTAGCTTAGCTTAATTAGCACAAAAACTACAAACGGAGCAAAATTGCTAGCTTGGCTCTAAAATAAAAAAAAACAACAAAAACAAAAAGCATTTATACACTTCAGCCTTTGTACAGATTAAACAAGTTAAATGCTACATGTTAATATTTGAGCTTTAGAGTTTTTAGTAGCTGGATTTGGTTATGCTCTGACAGAGCCATGTATTTAAGTGGCAACAGGCTGTACCTTTATATTTACCACTAGAAAGAGGAGAGTATATTTCTCAACCTGTCAGAATATCCTTTTAAATTGTACAAAATAAATATCTTATTTATTGCTGACAAAATTATATGTACAGTCAGTTGGCACAAGTAGCTAGTTCCAATATAAGGCAATCCATTACCAATCCAGTACCAAAAATTGTCAAGTTCAGTTAACCCCTCTATGACACATTTTCAATAAAAACTGAATATGTATAGCCTTACTCACTTTGGTATTTATTGCAAGTCTTTTGTTTTGGAGTGCATCATATTTAAGGGGTCCCTGTGACTTCATTTGGGATTTTGGCTTGATAAAAACATGCAATAATACTGTGTTGAAATAACATTTATGTACAGTACCTGGTGTAAATACTGATCAGATCCAGACTTTTTTCCACTACAGTACAAGTGTTTAGACCAACCTTTCTAGATTAGAGGATGTTTCAGGTACAGATGGCTTATCTCTGTCAGCCCCCAGTCATCTGGCCCCATGTGGCAGCTCATCCTTACTGCCCAGCAAAGACAGGAGAATAACTGTCAATACAACAAAGCACTGACAGGTTGGTGAAATTACTAATAGTACTAGCATTTGTTCTTTCTACCTGCAAGTGTGTTCACAGCTCTAATGCTGTACTCACGCTGGGGCTCATTTTTCTCACACAGTTTGAATTGTACACACAGTAAAATGTATATATGCATTTCATGAGTTTACATACAAGAATATGCTGTCTTTATATTTTTCCCTTATGATGATTTGATGTGAATGTATCACCATATTTCAATATTCGTTCTGCCCTCGGGTTTGTATCAGTTCATGCCATCTGCTAAGGTTTTGTTCAGTGCCAAAAAGATACTGCACATGAGGTCCAGTTGTGTATACAATACAAAATATATATTTTCAGCCAAAAAGCCTTTGTCTGGCTAAGAGACCAGCAACATCTGGCCTTAGGTGTAGCTACAGTATACTAACCGCATTTTTTTTAAGAAGAATTTGACTTCAGAGAAACCCTGCTGTGAACAGCAAGAAGATAATGTACAGCTTTGTCCTTAGCGCTCATATGGTATATGATTTATCATTGGTAACTGAAGGTACACAGAGATACAGCTGAGCTAAGGAAAAGTAAGTCCTCTGGGACCCAATCATATATTTTTGCAGTAACACAGATGTTGAACGTTTATTCTATGTAGTCTGTTATGTTGAACAGAGGCTGTTTTTCTGTATGCGTTCATGTATTCAGTCCTAGCAATCAGATGGTGGCCAGTAATATAGTGAGTAGGTGGAGCTATTTGTATGTGTTCTTAGCATTGTCTTGTTTTGGTAGGGTACATTCAAATTTCACTGTTGAACTGGTGCCAACCTTTAACTCTTCAGTGGGTGCATTTGTGTTCAGCATGGGTGCCCTTGGTAGGCACTGATCACTTACCTGGCACTAGTGCTCCTCCTCCAGGTACAATCGGTTACGCTGCATACTAGCAAAAAAGTTGCCAGAATACTGTTTGAAAGCTTTGTGTGGGCTTTGTGTGGTGTGGGAGGAAGGAGCCCTAGACCTCGGCAGTACAGGAAAAAGAAGTAAACAAATGCATTCTGGAATAAATATATAATGAAATAATTAAATGCATAAATAAATAAAGGAACAAGAAAACAATGAATGTCTAAAATTTATTTCCACATGATTGTATGTGTATGTATTTTTCTTGTATTTCTATGACTGTATATTAAGTATAGGAAGTTTTATAGCTGCAGGACTGTTAAACTGAGAAATTCAGAGAGGCAAATAATTCTTAGAAAACCTCACAGGCCATTTACATAAGCTCTTGGTCAGCTGGAAGTCAGCTGACCAGGTACTGTATTTATTTATGCAAATTTTTTTATTCATCCTTTTATTAATTTAGATATTTATTTATGCATTTTTATGTATTTATTGCTCCTTTAGGCTGACAACAAGAAACAGATTTACAGACAGATTTTATTATCTGAAGTTCTATTTATTTATTACTTAATTCATTTTCATAAGTTGATTTCAATTTAATTTCAATTTTAATTCATTTTTATTAAGTATTAATATCTTAATTCATTTTAAGTATTCATTTGAATGAATCTGCAGTCTGAGGCAGAAAACACCTTTTGATAAATAAGTATAGCCTATTAGCTGTAATCATATTTTGGCAAAGAATCATGCTGTGCAAAGTGCTGGATTGCTAGTAATTTTTAAAATATATCCCACAAACATGAATAAAGGTTATATGAGACAGAAAAACCTTTTCAGTAACACACGTTTAATCGCTCTTTTTTTTTTTCTTTTTCAAGGGGAATGCTGCATTGTACTGGTTATACTGGATCCATAAACAGGAGAGGTGTACATATATTAGATATGAGGCTACTTGGTGCCTCTAACTGAGAAGACATACGGGATTAAAATTCATCAAGCGACTTCAAAATGACAGAAAATTATGCAGAGCTGTCAGTGACGTTTGTTTTGCAATGTCCTGTGCTAGACTGACCTCTGGTGGATACACTCGCAAATTACAAAGACTATTAAACCAGACAGAGATGCCGAAATAGTTGGAAGAGCTTTGGAGTGAAGATTTGAAGATCCCGGGTTCAAGTCCTGGGTAAGTGTTGTGAATTTACAGCCTGATACATGTCACTTGTCAATTACATAAAAACAAAATGGCTGTCACTGGACGAAAGAAGAAATTTGCTTCTTGACAATGAATCGGCATGGAGTAGATGATATACACCATACTTCATTTGTCCCCTTAGAGAAATTTGTGTTGGACATCAAGATGCAGCTTTATATAAAAACTTAGATTAGTAGAAAACCATTCATTTAGTTAAAAGCAGTATTAGATTGAAATGGTAGAAAACAATCAGGGCAAACCTACATTTAACAAAGTTACAAAACAAACAAAAAGACAAAATAAAACAAACAAAAACAACTAAAATTATTGCTTTTTAAGTTTATCGTTCACAGATTTCACAGATACAAGAATGAATGAGTTCTTGAATCTATTCAACTTGCATCAGGGAACCTTGTCCATTTGCCTGAAAGTAATAATTCAAATACATCCATTGTATGTTTCACCTTCTCATGTGCATTAACCATTATTTACACATTTATAGGCAGTGACGTGCGGCCAGGGGAGGCAGGTGAGGCAGAGCCTCCCCTGTCAATCTTGAAAAGAAAAAAAGTTAACCATAAAATATAATAAATGTTAGTATTTGTGGGCTGGTGTGTGCTGTAGGTCCTTTTGCCGTTCGAATCCGATGCTGAAGGATTTTTTTTCAATAAAGAATAGCAGAATTTTCGTATGTCCCGTTCAAATACATGGAGGAGA